TCCACGGACATTTTCTAAATTCATTAATATTTTTCTTTAAAAAAAGGATTTTTTCAATCTATAAACTTATTTTAAACTCATGAACATGTTCTTGAGTTTACAATCTTTTTAGAAAGCAGTTAGCCGTTATTTAGTCAAATTTGCTGGTTTTTGAACGAGTATTTAACCAAAAACTATCACATTTCATGGAAACGTGTCCAAAAACTACCACTTTATAAATTTGTGTCAAAAACTATCACTTTTTTACAAACCCGTGGCAAAAAACTACCACTTCAGGAAATGACCAGTTTAGAAGATATAAACATGTTTATGACAAATGGGCCCCCCGTCAGGGCTGACGAGCTTCCTCCTCTCTCTGTGGCATTTTAACAACACTTTCAGTGCAAGGGAGGGAAGCAGGTGAGCTTCACCATCGCACTAGTAGGTGGCTGAGGACACCGGCGAGGTGTGGTTGCTGGCCATGACGGTGTGGTTGCGACCCTGCATCGACGCCGCTGCCTCGGTTCCTGCTGGGCGAGTCCATGGGCGGCGCGGTGGTGCTGCTCCTGCACCGACCGCGGCGGTCTCCGCCGACACCTTCATGGCAAGCACCTCCCACAACACCGCCTCTAGCCGCGCCACCATGGCCTGGACCGGGGCCCTGGCCACGTGCGTGTCTTCCCTGCCCGCGGCGGCTTCCTCCTGCGTCGCCCGTGCACTCGCCTTGGCTCGCTCCGCCTCTCGTCGTGCCTCGTCTAGTTGTTTAGCCGTCTTCTTCTTCTTCTCTCTTCGCTGCCCCTCGCTCTTGCCTGCGTCGCGGCGAGCTCGGAGGTCACCCTGCTCAACTCCTCCTCCAGCGACGGGATGGACGCAGACGACAACATGCTCTGCTTCTGCCGTAGCGCGGCCAGCTCCGCCTTCTCCTTCTCCAGGTCTGCGCGCAGCGACACGGCGGCGACGTGCATGATCTTGGCCTCGTCCTTGGCCTTCTCGACGCTCCCCTTCACCTTGCTGTGGGAAGGAGGTGGGGAAGGGAAGGGAGCGACCCGCGGCGGTGGTAGGGTGGAAGAAGAAGAATGACATGTGGGCCCCAACCTGTCATAATCAAGTTTAATTCTTGCTAATCAGTCATTAAGTCAATGTGGTAGTTTTTAGGCACAGACTAGCAAAAAAGTGGTAGTTTTCGGCACAAATTCGTAAAGTGATAGTTTCTGAGCACGTTTCCATGAAATGTGATGGTTTTTGGTTAAATACTCTTTTTGAATGGTCGAGCGGCGCCATAAAAGAATTGATCTATATTGGAGCAAGCGCTGTTAAACGTTATAGAGACAATAGGAGGACCTCTTCTCATGATGAAACCGCTGTAGAGCAGCCCATTAGTTCTTTTTTTGTGTGGAGAAATTATGTTTTTGTTTAACTTTTAAAAAAAATGCATTGTCAAAAGTATATTTATAAAAATGAGGAAAAATATTTTTTTTCATGTATGTAGATTAAATCTTCACATATATAAAATAGTATATTCATCTCGTATTTACAAAATGGTCATTTATACAAAATATCATTAATGTATAAAACAGTTTCATATTTTCCAAAAAATAGTTCATATATTTTGTAAAGGGATTTTAATAATGTTTAAACATAAGTTCATATACTTTTGAGAAAATGTTCAAAGTAAACAAACCCTAAATGGAGGGGGAAATAAAAATATAGGACTAAAGAAGGAGGATGTTAAAGAAAATGAAGACGGAGAGGCTAATTGGTTTGATGCCAAAAGACGACAGTGAGCGCCCGCGACAACCGCCATGGACGTGTGAGGCGACTGAGCTCGAAGCACCACCGACTCGCCGCCAGTCGCTACCCTTGCCGCACCCATCCCCGTTGGTTTTAGTCGCTGCCCTCGCATCAACGTTGCGGCTGGGCGGAGCACTGTCGTTGGTGAACGCCTCAACATGTGGTGGTTGTCGTTGCAGTGTCGTCGTCGCCATAGCGCTACCGCACCACCGGCCACAGCTCCCAGCTTCACCGCTTGTACCATCGTCAACTCGCGTCGCTGGTTGAAACTTTTTCGGTCATCGATCGGTTGAAGCTTTTGCGGTTGCGCATTGGTCGGTTCCAGCTTTTATCGTCTCCGGTTGAAGCTTTTTTCCTCATCGGTTGCAACCCTCACAGGCGTCGGTTGCAGCTTTATCGATCGCTGGTTGCAACCTTGCACATAAGAGTGGATGGGGCATAGTAGCACGGAGCTCCTGTTACAACAAAACGATGGCTATGAGGATGCAACTACTCTCCCGTTTCAAAGAGAGAGAGAGAGAGGAGGGGGGAGGGGGTTGTTCAAGCTTGACTTCGAGCCCTTATGGCAACACATAATCGGATGCCAGCAGGAGGTAGCCATGGAGGCGTGCACTTGTTGGGAAAGAACGACGATGGGAAGATTGTGTTCAGGGCCGGGGAAAAACGAGTGGATGAGAGATAAGGCAGAGCATGCCTACGGTGCGCGGGGCCACAAAGAGCGTCTGGCCGTTCGATCCAGATCGATCTGACGGGCCACAAATCGGATGTCAGCCGTTCAGAAATATTTACCAATCAAAAAGCAACACATGCTTATAATACGACTTTTGTACCGAAAGTATTCATGTGATCCTGAGCTCCAGTAATCCCGTATGAACAGTAAAATCCAAAGAAAAATAGTAGCGAATTTTTTTTGCGAAAGAAAATAGTAGCGAAATTTAAAATTTCTGATTTTTTTACAAGAAACATTGATGTTTTTTTTTGCGGAAGGGAAACATTGATGTTTTGTCTACATGCATGCAAATTTTCATTATGAAATTACATTTGTGGAAGCGTGAAAAAAAAATTGATGTTTCCAAGTGCTTCCAAAAAGACTTTTTCGGAGCATTAATTTTGTTTTTTTGTCCACACCTCCACAAATGTAATTTCATCATGAAAATTTGCATGCATCTAGAAAGAACAGCGATATTTCTTGCCGCAGAAATTCAGATTTTTTTTTTGAACTGTTCATCCAGGATCACCGAAGCTCGGGATCACATACTCCAGGTCCCTTTTGTTGTACACTCTCCCTCCCGCACTCCACCCTGAAAGCCAGCCAACACCGTTGGTGCTTCTTCGCCGCCGCCAACGTCCGACTCCGGCGACGCCACCATCACACGCACACTGACTGTACACCCAACACCGACAAGTTTGCATCAGAAGGCAAACATTATTCATTCCCGGCAACAGTATTTAACAGTGACCCGTGGAGCAACAACACGCAAAGGCAGAGAGGGAAGGCCCGGTGAATGAGCCTGTAGTAGTGCGTAGTAGCCGCCGGCCGCAGCCTGGTCCATGGACACGCTTTCATCGGTGGCATGCTTTATATATCAGGCAGGCGGGAGCACCTTTCGTCTCCCACCGAAGCAAAAAATGGAGCTGCGCTGTCCCTCTCCGCCCTCCTCTCCCGGCACGGCGTCGATCCATCCAATCCTACGGCACGCTTAGGCTTCGGGGACCGGGTTCAGATGAGTGCAAGTGAAGAAAATCGGTCCAAGCTAGCTAGTGCGTGCGTGGCTTGGGGATCTCACCAGCTCCAGCAGCTCGTCGCGAACGATAATGCTGGCTTTTCATTGGGCGAGATGGATGGCCGGACGGACGGACAAAGCTGACGGGATGGTTTGATCGGATCGGAGTTGTGTGTTTCACACGACAGAGAGAGGTGCGTTCGCGTCGTTGCTTGCGACTTGTGAAATGCTGAGTCGTACACACCGCCGGTCGTTCCTTTCACCTTGAAGAAGATGGTGGACGCAAGGGAAAAACGACGGGACAGCTACTCACCCGGGCGTGCGGATGAGAGAAGAGAGAGCCTTTTCGTCCGGTCTCAAAACCATGCCGTTTTCCTCCTCTTTTCTTCTGTGCAGCCGTGTGAGGTGATGGATGGTGTGGTTGGGTTGCGTCGCGGGGGGCTAGCTCCGTACGAGCCCAAAGATGTCAAAGATGCGCCAGCGTTATATGTGAGTGAATGTGATCCGCATGATCACTCGAGACTTAACTCGCCAAGGAAAATGATTCCGGCGTAAGTCAATCCCTTCTGGTCGCCAGCGAGCGGTTGGGTAGGTTCCGGCAAACGCAAGGCAGCGCCAGACCACGGCCCTTGCCGTCTTGCCGGCGAGCAGAGCACGTGGGCCGCGGGTACGCGCACGGACGCCGCAATCACGCGCGCCGCGACCTGCGCGCCACGCCAGCATTTAGCATTTAGTTGGGCGGACGTAGTAGAGAAGTGCAGCGCTGCACACAGCGGCAGCTGCACGCAGCTCTCGGACGTAGTATGTCTGAAACGACGGCGTATGTATGATTACTGATTAGCCAGCTCGCCGGTCCACGCACGGCGGCTGCCGACCTCGCCGCCGCCGTGGAAAACCGCGTGCGTGGCTGCCGAACGCGCGTGAACGTTTGGCCGTCGTGCTCCTCCTGAGCTACAGTACAGCACGCCCGGCCCTTCTCTTCACACCGACAGTTGCCGTCTGCAAGTGACAGCATGTGCCGTGTCGTAGTCGTAAGATAAGGAGGAAGATGTGTGTTTCAGACATCAACGCGGCCTCGGAAGCTGCCGTGCTGTCTCCGGCGAAATTTATCTGAGTGGGCGACTGCATCAGCCGTCCGTCCCCGGCCAATCGGCGGCGAGGGGGCAGCGGCCAGTGGGTCGTTGGCCTGGGGCGGTGGTCCAGCATCACAGGAGCTAGTAGCCGCTGCCCTGCCCGCCGTAGTGGTTGCCGTGCCGGGTCCCTCAGGTCAGGTAGAGCCACACCCACCACGGCCGGCGCGCGCGCGACGCGAGCCCACCAACCAACCTCCGGGCCTGAACCTCCTCCGCGCGCTACATCGCCATCGCCTCCACCAACCACGCCTTTAATACCCTTGCGCCGCACAGCTCCCCCGCCCGCGCTGCGCTGTCGCTGCTGTGGCTTCCGGTCGATCCCCGGCCCGCCGTGCCAAGCCATCTCCACCTCCACCACCGGCGGGCAGGCGCCATGAAGCAGCCGAGGTCGCGGCAGGAGCCGCGCCGGATGGGCAACTCGGCCATGGTGGTCACCATGCTGCTCTCCCTCTGCGTCCTCACCTTCATCAAGGCCCGCTACTGCTCCACCCCGTACCGTACGTCCCTCCCCATTCCCCGCTCCATTCCCTCACCCGCCGATCCCTCCCTCCCTCCGCTTGCTTGCTCGGCTGATGCTGATTTGCTCGATGGGTGTGCGTGCGTGCAGCCAACAAGCCGGCGCCGCTGCTGGACCTGGAGGTGGAGATCGACGAGGACTACGACAGCAGCCGGTACAAGATCTCCGGCCCCATCGGGGAGGAGGAGTTCGACCCCAGCCGCCCCACCTGCTACAACACCAGCAAGCGCTCGGAGCGGTGCGCGGCCGTGGGCGACGTCCGGGTCGACGGCAACCACTCCAAAATCTACATCAGCCCGCTGGGCAAGGAGTGGCGCACCAAGCCGTACGCGCGCCGCCACGACGCCGTCGCCATGGACGACGTCCGCGAGTTCGCGCTGTTCCCCTTCGGCGGCGCCAACGACAGCGCCGTGCCGCCGCTCTGCACCAGGAACCACTCCGTCCCGGCCTTCCTCTTCTCCAGCGGCGGGTTCGCGGGCAACCTGTACCACGACTACACCGACGTGCTGGTGCCGCTCTTCACCAGCACCCACCACTTCGGCGGCGAGGTGCAGTTCCTGCTCACAGACATCAAGGACTGGTGGCTGGACAAGTTCACGCCGCTCTTCCGCCAGCTCTCCAACTACGACGTCATCGACGTGGACAACGACCAGGAGGTGCACTGCTTCTCGCGCATCGTCATCGGCTCCACCTTCCACCGGCCCATGGGCATCGACGGCACGCGCTCCCCGGGCGGCGAGACCGTGGCCGACTTCAAGCGCCTGCTCCGGCGCGCCTTCCGGCTCGACCGCGTGGTGGCGTCCCACGACGGGGCCGCCAGCCTCGGCAAGCCGCGGCTCCTCATCATCTCCCGCAAGTCCTCCCGGCGGTTCCTGAACGAGCGCGCCATGGCGCACGCGGCGGCGGCGGCGCAGTTCGACGTGCGCATCGCGGAGCCGGACAACCACACGGACATGCCCAACTTCGCGCGGCTGGTGAACTCGGCGGACGTGATGATGGGGGTGCACGGCGCCGGGCTGACCAACATGGTGTTCCTCCCGAGCCGCGCCGTGCTGCTGCAGGTGGTGCCGTTCGGCGGGCTGGAGTGGCTGTCCCGGGTGACCTTCAAGGACCCGGCCAAGGACTTCGACGTGACCTACATGGAGTACAACGTGTCGCTGGAGGAGAGCTCGCTCAAGGACCTCTACCCCAAGGACCATTTCTACCTGCAGCACCCCTACGACGTGCACAAGAAGGGCTGGAACGCCATCAAGACCACCTACCTCGACAAGCAGAGCGTCCGGCTCGACCTCGCCAAGCTCACGCGCACGCTCCAGCACGCGCGCAGCCTCCTGCCCTCCCCCTCCTCGCACTGACACTGAGCCCCTGCTTCAAGTTCGGTTTCTCCATGCTAGATTAGGCCTTCTTCTTCCTCCTCATCCTCTCTCTCCCTCCCATGTTTGGTTCACTTCTTGATTTGTTGTTGTGGTGGTGCCAAAGATTCATTTCTTTCTTTCTTTCTTTCTTTTTTCTGGGTAAAGGAGGAGACGAACAAGTTCGTGTCATGCATAGGCAGCAAAGTGTCCAAAGGTTAATTTACACTCTGTAAATTCGATTGATTGTCCCGACAACGCACACAGAGAAAAATGTAATTATTTGCCCACATGGGGAGTGTGTGATCCATCACTTTGCTACCATCAGAGAGAGACAGGGCATGTGAACAATTGAGTGTGATGCTTTTCTGGCCCCAAACTTGCTGCGTCATGCGTGCCCCCTCATTCTCAACAGTTCATCAGACATAATGCTTTCAATTCTGACCAGCTTCGGAGGCTTCGACTTTTGTATAGATTTTGGACCAGTTTCGTTGGAGTAGGTTGTAGCCTAGGGCAGTACTGTACTGTACCACAGAACAGAAGCCCTGTCGCTCTCCACACCCGAGGTTATCTGAAGAATGAAAAGGCTCTCGCAACATTTCAGACCAGCTTCAGCTCTGTATTTTGTACTGTACATACCAGCTTAGGGGCCTTCAGCTCTGTATTTTGTACAGTACATACCAGCTTAGGGGCCTTCAGCTCTGTATTTTGTACCGTACATACCAGCTTAGGGGCCTTCAGCTCTATATTTGAGAAAAGTTCAATTAGCAGCGACAGCTTTATATTTCAGACAAGCTTTGATTAGGCCTCGACTATATTTTTCGGACCGGTTGAGGAGGCTTGGACTTGGTTTTCGGAGCAGTTGAAGAGGTCTGGACCTTAGCTGATAGCTCAAAGCACCTATGGTCATAAGTGGTAGGACTCGCCAGCATCATGTCGTTAGAGTAGCTTAATCTCTTTTAATGTTATAAGAGTAGCTTAATTATAGGCAGTACTGCCATGATATATATATATATATATCCAGGTCCTTTACTCCTATAATAGTTTCATCTTCTGAAGAAAAAAGAAGTACAAATCCCTGCTAAACCTAAAAAAGATGCACCCCACTGCCACCGGCCTTGTGCTAGCCTAGCTAGTAGCTCACGCACGCACGCACGCACCGGAGGTAGGGGAAAAGGTCTTAAACTAGAAGCCAAGCCAAGCCAAACCACCACGAGGAGCCCAGCGCAGCGAGGCGCAGTGGTTGCCCCTCTGTTCTCCACACGGGAAAAGACGAACGGGCTACGCTGTGGCCACGACGGGGCACCAACCCAGAGTTAATCAGTCACTCATCAGCTCCCTTTTCCTCCTCCTCTTCTTGGATTGATTATTGTTGCGACCCAGATTACCTGCGCGAAACGTGATGATTAGATACCAATATACTCCATCCCATGGGCTCGGGAAAACGCCCGTGCAACCGACGATCATCCGCGGTATCTCTCAGATAAGAACCGTTTAACCCTACGCGGTCAGTGGATATGATAGGTGGAGCAGGTCCGGGAAACAGCTCGACCGGCTCCACGAGGACCACGGCCGCGGGGATCGGATGCGATCGCCGCCACCAGATTTCTGTTGGCTCCTCGCCGTCCACCAGATTTCCGTTCGGACGGAAAGCGTTCTACGTAGTACTCCGTACTAGATTAAGCCATACGATCGGTCGATCCCCCGTAACGTAAGCAAAGTGTTCCCGGCTTCTTTTGTTGGATGGATGTACATCTCTGGATGATGGCCTGATGGCTCAGTCCGGCCGTCCATGTGCTGCGTGTCCACGGAAGGACGGAGAACCGTCTACGGTTCTGAAGCTGGTTTGGTCCCGGCTGCCGTCCAGCTACAGTCTCCACGTACTGTCCATCTGGTGGTGGATTCCAGGGCTGGAGCTTCATCATTTCGGGCCTGAATTTGGAAAAGGCCGCTGGGCGAGAAGTATCGTTGCCATGCCAGGACAGTGAGCTCTTCTCGCTGTTTTCCAACACGGAGCGGCAGCTTGACAACAACAATATCAACAACAAAGAGCAGGGAGCGGCAGGTGCACGCACGCGGTCTTTGAAAAATAAGCAGCAGCTGGTTTCTCCAAGTGGTCAGAGGCCTCTGTCTCCTCTGCTTTTGTCCGGCTCAGCCCTTTGACCTTCATCACAGCCACAGCCACGGGCCTAACCGGCCGGCAGGGCAAATGTAGCTTTACGACGCCATCAGTTAGGTGCTCTGAGGTCCGAGCACGTTGTTCTGCCAATTAAGTGCGCCTGGTCCGGTCCTGTGTGTTAGGCTTGGCAAAAAGCGCAAGCAATGATGCCGTGGATTGATAGTAGATAGTAGATGTGTGCATCCAGAAGCTCTGCTCCTTATCCGATAGCCGGGTTAGACGCCCGCAGCCCGCTGCTTTACATTACTACTACTGGTGCTTTACGTGCCGGAGACTTCTGTTCCAGCAAGAGGGCGACACGTCGCACATGTATGGGGCCGGCGATACCATACTGATGGAGTATGCATGTCCAACAGTGGATCGATCGGAAGTTCAGTGAAAGAAGTTCTTTCACCGAGCTGCTGATGAATCAAGAAGTGCCGTAGCACAGCCTGATCTCACTACACATTACTGTTATTTTATGCAGGATTAAGAGTATGTCTGTATTTATACTGAAACGTAGCCGAGAGGGCCGTACCCAACAACTGACGCATGTTGGAGTGTAGACATCGGATGCTTGAAAATGGCTTTGTTTATACAGTAGCTTTGAGTAGCTCAGCGAGAGGACAATGGGTTTGGTAGAGCCGTAGCAGCGGATCGTATGGTTATTAATGGTTAGTGTCCTCTTCGCTCTGAAGTCTGAACCGTAACGGTCCGATCTGGTGGAGGACGGGAGCTCTAAACAATGGTGTCGTGCTATCATCATAGTATTTGTGTGCGAAAAACAATGCCTTTTTGATCTTCCGGACAGATGCAATGAAACCCAAAGTATTGTTGTTGCAGTAATTTGCCGGCATATATGGGAGGTCCGTAATGATCTAAGGAATTCTCGAAATAAAGTTTGCCCAGTGCCAGCGACATTATTTTAAACATCAGTACAGACACAAGCGCTCATACACACACGCATACACTCATCCCTATGAACGCACACCCTATCCCTATGAGCACCTCCGAAAGACTGAGCCGGCATATTATCTTGAAATTTACGAAGTCACCGTAGGCACCTCGTCGTCGACGAGAACGTCTCCTTTCACTGAATGCGCATCGCCGAAAATTTTGAAATAAATCCAAGAAGAAATGCGAGCGCCAGGATTTGAACCCTGATGGTTGGGGATACCACAGTCCTTACATGCGTATCTAGATATGATCGCGAAGTATTCTCTGAAGCAGACCCAACCACTAAGAGCATCTCCAACAGCGATGCCAAAAGACGCGCGTGCGCGGTAAACTTTCACTTTAGCGCGCATGGGACGTTTTCGCGCGTTCAAGTGGCAGCGGGAAACTAGCGCGTGCGGAAAATGATTGCACGCGCGGGAAAAGGCGGCAGCTCGCGCGCTAGATTTGGCGCACCGCTTCGGGCGCGCCTATAAATTGCGGCGCTCGCCACGCGGCCTCCACACTGCCACGCGCGCTCTCCCCGCTCCCTCACTCTGCCGCTTGCTTGTCGCTTCCTCGCCCCGCCACCACCGCGCCACCATGCCGCCGTGCCGCCGGGGATCGTCTGGCTACCGCGACATCCGCGAGCGCCCCAGCGGCACCTACTATGCTAAGATCCGGTCCAGCGACGTCCGGCTCGGCCTCGGCACGTTCGAGACCGCACACGGGGCCACCCGCGCGTATGACACAGCGGCGTGGCGCCTAGAGAGGCCTCCATCACAGATTAACTTCCGCGACGTCTACACGCACGAGCAAGCGCAGGCCGTCGCCCCTCCGCCTCATCTTATCATGGATCAGGACCGTGCGGAGCACCGTCGGCATCAGCGCCGCCTCCTCATCGCCGAGGAGGACGAGCGAGCCATGGCGGAGTGCCGCCAGGGCCACCCGGAGGACGTCGCCAACGAGCGCGTCTCCTGGGCGAAGAGGACGGCAAGGCGCCGCGCGGAGCGGGCGGACAAGCGTCGGCGGAAGTCACATGCCATATCGCAATGCGATCTCGTCAACGTCGTTGGGAAGTCGTTCTTCACGTCCGATTATGAACGTTGGGATGACGTGTGGATCTCTACCTCGGACAACACCAGCGAGGGTGATGAGGACGACTCGAAGTAGTTCTAGTTGCATCGTTGTTTATCTAGTTGCACCGTAGTTTTTTAAATGTAGTTGCACCGTAGTCTTCTTTATCGATGTATGCTATGAACTATGTAAAATATCTTTGTATCGTTTTTATCTATGCTATGTAAAATATCTTTGTATCGTTTTTTCTATGCTAGAACTATGTATGGTGAGACAAAATATCTATGCACACGCGCTGTATTTTTGTGCGCTGCTGGAGCTACATGCGCGCGCTGCATTTTAGTGTGGCTGATGGAGCCAGCGCTATCCGCCGCACCAAACAGACGATGGACGCGCTGCAAAGTAGTTTTTAGCGTGCCGCGTGTTGGGCAGCTGTTGGAGTTGCTCTAAGGTGTGCAGCCCCCAAGTAGACTCAAATATGGGCCCCGCCGCGAGCTGGTGTGGTTTGTGCTAGCTACGTCGCACGGATACTTGATACGTATCAAATACGCGATACAGGGATATGCCCGATACGCCAATTTTTTAAAAATATGGATACGGCGATACGTTTATATATAGATATTACATATATTAATTATTAAAAATATTGAAAATAAAATAGAGCTTCTAGGTCAAAGCATGCCTCAATAGGATTATTTCCTTTGTTTTCTTGCACTTGGTGCATTTTCATTAATTGGTAGTGGGATTTTCCCGGATTTGTTGTTTCAATCAGTGCATCGACTCTCTCTTGCTCACCTTTCAATTGAACAAGAACATTTACAATCATGTTTTGGCA